ACAGTCGACGTCAACTTCCATTCTTTTTTCTTTAACTGAATGCCTACGCTGATATTGTGTTGACATCATAGTGACCAGCCTAACCATGATATATATATATATATATATATATATATATATATATAACAAGGTTCTAGAGCTAGAGTGTGTCTGGACTTATCTGTTCTTCTCTTTCCAAAGTTCATTGTTTAAAAGCTTCCGTTAACTTATTTCGATTCTGCGCGTTTAGCCTGAATAGTTTTTATTATTACCAGCCTTGTATTTAGCAACTAACGTAGGGTTAGTTATGATATAAATTCGACTTTTTAGACCACTGAGAGTACTGGAGTACAAACGCGTAAATCCTATTTATCAGTCATCTCTCCATTGACAGGAACTGACATAAAGAAGATTCGCTACGTTTCATTTTGCCAGGTCGTACATTTCGATAAGAGACAGACCCTCATAGAGTTCTTCCCCACGTCTCGTAAAACAAAAGTAGTTTTCACGTTCAAGAATGTGTGTATGTGTCTGCGAGTGTTATGCGAGTGTCTACGTGTGTGTCTCTGTGTATGTCTGTGTGTGTGACTGCATGTGTCTCTGTGTGTGTGTCTCTGCGTGTGGAGTTTTAAACCAATAGTATAGGTTAAAGTAAGAGCAGAGAAAAGAGAAGGATAACAAGAGAGGAGTGAAAGGAGAAAGAATGCAAAAAGAAAAAAGAAACAGAACGAAAGTAAAAGAGAGAATAATAAAGAAAAAGAGAGAAAAACTAAGAGAGCAAGAAAGATAAATAGTGTAAGAGAAGGACAGAGAGAAAGTGAGAGAACGACAAAGAAGAGAGAAATAAAAAAAAGATGGGAAAGATTAATTCAAAGAGAGAAAGAGAGAGAGAGAGAGAGAGAAATAAGGAGGTGGAAACGTGGGCAACATTTAACAATAGAAACATCTCTTTCAGGGACTCTACTATTTGAAGCCGTAGAGAGAAAACAATGAGCTATACAAATTGTTGTGAATCAAAGTTCAAGAAACTATTTTGTTGGCACTGATTCAAATGATTTCTACAGCAAAGATTTGTCAACAACGAAACCGTCATATCTAACTCATGGAAGTTTAATTGATAGAAGTTTAAATCCTGTCTCGGTTAGAGACTAGCAGAACATGAGAGAAATACGGACTAGGAATCATTAGAATTCGACCTTATATAAAGTATGACTTTCCGTGGGACCGGGTTCAATAACAATGTGATGCACCCTCATCAGCCCTCAATACATGAAAAACTAGAAGATTGGGTGTAAAAGAAAAAAAAAGAGGGTCCTCCAGTATGTATTCATACCTAATCAACATTCCAATGTATGTGTCATCTGTTTAAAGTAAAAGGGTCCTTACAGTCAGCTCGGTGCTACATTGTCTTAAAATAAGCGTCGTGACCATCAATGCTTGTACATGTTCATAAATGTAATACCAACTCTTTTTTTCAATCAGCTCTGTAGACCCATAAATCAGTCAAACGTCTGGGTACATTAAGCACCCCTCACGATATGGGTGCTACTGACCGTGTGCTAATGCCCTACCAAGTGTCGTCAGGAAGGTCCAGAACTGTGCCAGGAATCATCTCCTGCCGTTATGCGCGAGGTTTAGTCGTAATCATTTTTTTTTTAATCCCGGAATGAGTGTCAGCCCCAAATCTAACATTTCTAGCATTCTTATTGTGGTTTTTTTTCTCTCAAAACATTGTTAACCTCAATATTGTTTCTTTTGGTTGTTTTTGAATATTTGGTATTATATCTGTAGCAAAGCACTGCCGTAAACATTGAACAAGTTCATAAACTTCTATACTGTGAACTATATGTTGCTGTGATGAGATGTCAACTATCAGCGTTTTATATAGTGAAAACAGTAGGCATTCAAACAACTTAAAAGTTTTGATTAAGTCCACCCGGAAGTACTGTCCAGCCTCGTTATGAGATGTGTGCGTTTAATTCTTTTTTGGAAATAGGAAGGGAAATAAACTCTGGGAGTACCTGATGACCACAGGACCACCATAGTTAGAAAATTAAATTACGCCAAGTGGTGTGTAGCACTGCGTGGTTCTTAGTGCTACTGTAGTGAAGACGTCAAACTCAATTTTCACCAAAAGTTGGAAACAGGCATGATTTTTTTGACTTTCCAATTGTTTGTAGCTTTATTATTTCGGTACATCTCATAGATCTAGTGTAAGATAACTCTTCGTACAGTAACTGTCTGGATTATTTAGATGTACAATAATAGAGTTATCGTGGAATAATAGAGTTATCACAGAATAATAGAGTTGTAGAATAATATATATCGACTTTGTACAAATGCTCTTTCTTCCCTATTAGAGCATGGAATGGATTTCCTGAGCTAGCCAGGAAAACCAGTGACTGGGCAGAATTTAGGTCATTGGTTAATATGCATGACTGAATGCATGATGCGTAGGACATAATCATCTTCTCTTTTGGAAGTAACGTCTGTATTATATAAGATAAGATGATCGCAGTTTGTCTCTTTCCTTCGATATTTAAACATCCAACAAAATATAAAAATTTTTGACCCATTTAATTCAAAGATCCAAGAGTTAATATATAAATATAACTTTTGGATATTTGAATTAAATTAAATATATATATATATATATATATATATATATGGATATACACGTATATATATCGTAAATATGTAATAAGACGCGTCACTTGTTGAAAACAGGAACAGATTTTTTAACATTGTTTTTCGATAAACCACTACAATTTTTGAAGAAAAATCTTGCTTCGAAACTGGATGCTTCAGCTGAAGGGCTGAAAAAAAAAAGCAATGTACTAATCTGGTGGAGAGAATACATGATGTTGCATACAGTTGAATAACCAAACATTAGAAGGAGTCGACTCATTTCAAATACCTCGGTCAAACATAGCAAGGATGGTGGATCAATAAAAGAGATAAAAATCTGTTTAAGCTTGTCACGAGCAAACTATGGAAAATCTGGTAGAATAACAGCAGCTTCCAAGTAAAATTTAAAACTCCATTCTTTGCAAGTGAATTCTGGTCCTATATATATAACTTGTAGTCTCTGTAAGTATATATAACTTTTAGTCTTTGTAAGTATATACAGCTTGCAGTCTCTGTAAGTATATATAACTTGCAGTCTCTGTAAGTATATATAACTTGCAGTCTCTGTAAGTATATATAACTTGCAGTCTCTGTAAGTATATATAACTTGGAGTCTCTGCAAGCATATATAACTTGCAGTCTCTGTAAGCATATATAGCTTGTAGTCTCTGTAAGTATATATAACTTGTAGTCTCTGTAAGTATATATAACTTGTAGTCTCTGTAAGTATATATAACTTGCAGTCTCTGTAAGTATATATAACTTGTAGTCTCTGTAGGTATATATAACTTGAAGTCTCTGTAAGTATATATAACTTGAAGTCTCTGTAAGTATATATAACTTGCAGTCTCTGTAAGTATATATAAGTTGAGACTGAACACCGAGACAGAAAGAATTCGAGACTTTGAAATTAAATGATAAAAAAAAATGCTGGGTATCAGATACCAGGAAAAGAAGACAAATAGCTTTTTACTTTTTATAAGTCGTCGACACTGGCGGGCGAAAAGGGGAAACTTTTCAACATTGCGAAGAAGCGAAAGCTAAGCTGGTTCGCCCATATTGTAAGACATGACTCTCTGTCCAAAGTCATAATTCAGGGTCCAGTGGAGGGAGCACGAAGAAAGGGTTGTCCAAAAGAAAAAAAAACAAAGCTGGCTGGACAACGTACAAGAATGGACCGGCCTCTCTCTCTTGATGTCCTGCTAAGAACAGCTGCTGACCGAATAAGTGGAGGACTAGGGAGAGATGACACGAGAGATCAAAATCTTTGAGTGAAGCTAAAAATAGGTCATGAAAAGTCCAGGGATGTTGTTAAAAATAAACAGAGGCTCTTAATTATCCTTCAGATTGTCTCGTTCTAAGACGTCAGAGAAGATACATTTAGAGCATGAAAGGGGGGGAGACTAGCTAGCTAGAGCAGTACATTCGTTCATTAGTTCACTATGTTCAATTTTAGTTCATCAATTGAGTTTCGCGTATGTATAGGAAGAATTATTATTTGTACGAGTTTATTCTACAATTCAAGTTTACATAATTAACAGAACTGTGTTAGTGAATTCTATTCTAACGGAATCGTATCACGCTAAAGTGTCAGTGTGACTAAATCCAGCACTAGAATCACTAGGACCTACAATGGTATAACACCAGCGTTACACGCATAGAATCTCTAAAGAGTCCCAGGATGTGATGAAATCGCCTGAATTGATTATAAGGACACTACATTGAGCTACACTTAAGCAGAATGCTAGCTAGAGTTGTCAGCGCACCTTTTTAATGGAGCCCTTTCCTTTATGCTTACTGTGAGAGTTGGGGGTTGCAAGGTGTTTTTCTGATTTGGAAATGTTCGTTCTCACTCAATTGAATTGAGTCTGACTTCACTTCCGGTATTATTATTTTTCCGTTGTTCTACATAATGGATTGTATTACCATTTACCCACAATGAGAGAGCACCCTACCGCCGACATTGTTTATAAAGTGTGGTCTAGGTGGCGCTGATGTCGGGCCACATGGGTATGTAGCGTGGCCAGCCATGACGCCGGGGCAAGAGACCTGAAGTGGAAAGAGGAAATGAACTTGAATGGCGGGAAGGTTACTCAGTAAACTTTTTAGCCCTCTGCGATCGAGATTCTAAGTATCTACAACAATGGGAATAGCGTTGTTTCAAGAACATGTACTCAGATATTTAGCAGATCTAATTTACTGGAGGCTTTTTGATCCAGGAACACAAACTGAAATTCAAAATGAATCATGACTTAGTCTTAATTAAATCAAGGTCATATTTGAAATACTATATTAGTCTGATACTGCCGACATGTGTTCTAATGTGACTGGATAATATTTTAATGTTACTTATAACAATTAGGCTATGAATAATTAAAGAGGCAAAGTACCGAATGAGAGATTTGATGTGATTTTAATGTCTTAGAAATATATTGATTAGACAAAAAAAACTCTTTACATGAAATTTTGTTATGTAAGAATATATCCATTTTGGAGCTTAAAACTGATTCATGTACCATGTGTGGCAAGAAATGGGACATTCTCTCTCTCTATCAAACACAAATACAGTCTCTCTTACAAACTATACCGATAATACATTCAAGATGATGTCATATTTCTACACATTCAAGGATTCAATAATTGCATGTTTTACAAAGATCTACATACTCTCTAAGCCTTGCCACACATTGACACAACAGTTCTTGCATAACATTAACCTTGATGGATCTCCAGGCTTATCATAGAACTTTGCTCTTCAAAACAGAAGAATTCCAATAGTGGGCTCATGACTGGGCTCTTTAAAGCTGATGTACTTAGATCAAGAAACAACCCACGAAATCATCTCTCATTTCAATGACGTAATACCTAGGTACACAATGGACTGAGAACTCTAAGGCGATATCCGTGTTTATTATGAACATGATGTAGACAGATAGTCATTAGGATAATGCACGTTAGCGCCATGTTGGATAAAAAATTAATGGCATAACAACAAAAATAAGCGTTTACTTTTAACCAAAATTGATTTTCTGTCTTCAAGTGGGGGGGGGGGGGAGCTAGATCTAGTTTTTGTTTAGTTTAAGTTAAGAATTCCAAGCTCTGCTTTGCTTTTGAGTAGATAGCCTCGTCCTTTGATAAATTGTACAAAACATATCGTGCATAAACCTAATTCCAGTGTAACGCAATATTGTTGCAAAATAAACTTGAGGATAGATCCATACGAATTTCGAGTCCATTGTTATTTTTGTTTCCACTTGAACGACTTACGTAATACTGTTTATATAGAAGTATAAGAAACATAATTAGCACATTATCACAATAGAGAGTATGGCAATTAATATGCAAAATGAAAACCAATTAATAATATTAAATAGAGATAAATGTATAACAAGACATGGAATGCTTATGGCTATTGGGTTAGTCAGCAATTTAAATGAAAAGACAAGTTGTTGCTTTTTTTTTATACTGGAGAATTATGAACAATATCAAAAGTAGATACAGTCTAGAGATTGTTTCAAATGTAAAGAAGAACACAGAGATATAACACTCTATTTAGTTGTAATAAAGAAACTTTTAAATGGAAAAAATATCAGTTAAAAAATAAAGATGTAGGCCTATTTGATTTGTTAATAAGTTGTGGAAATTATTGCAAAGAAATCAGAGCTCATGTATTTCTTTTAATAATTACTCAACATTTATACATAAAGTATTAACATTTTTCGCTTTTTAAACAATTACACTTTCTAAAAAAAAATGTTTACATTTCAATATATGCAAAAAAATGCTTACTGTTAAAAAGAATAAAAAAGGAGAAAAGCCAGTCTTGTAAATATTTAAAGAGAAGACAGTGAAGACTTAAAAAATGTAGAGGCCTATATAAAATAGTTTCCAAGTTTCGGTGCAGTAGACATAGAAGTATAGACAATGTAAAATCATAATACTGATTCTAGATATTTATATTTATAAAGTACATGTGTAGTATCAAAGCAATATCAAAACAAAAGTCTTTAAGTTACTTTCAACACGGAGAGTTGACAACACAGCTTGGTAAGGAAAAGATAACTGGCAAGTTGTTGCTATTAGTTTAACTTCAGAATACAAACTTACTATTCACTTCATAGACTACTTTAAAAAACAATTCTCTAGGCATAGCTAAAAAAACACACAAAAAAAAAAAAAACCAAACAATTCTACTTTTCTTTTAAATAATAGAGCTCGTGACAATTAATAAAGCACTTCTAGAAATATTACAAACATTTCTCTGTTATATGAAAACGATATGACTTTAAGAATACACATCACTTAAGGATGTCAACTTTAATAATTTTGGTCTACAGAGGCAAAGGTTGTAACTTTTGGCCCAAATGTTAGTCATATATTGGTAAGCATGAGGAGAAAGGCCAAAATAGAAGAGACAAGGACTCACACGTTGTTGCTTTTGTTCTTATTGTTTCTAACCTATAATTGATGTGCACAGTACATTTATTACACACATAAAAAAAAACCTAGACAACACTCTGGACTGTTTCTGAGTAGATTTACTATGATGTTTTTTTTTGTTTTTCAAGCGAAAGTTTTTGATCGTACAAACATTCCATAGTTAGGTGCTGGGTGGGCGCACACGTCCAGTGATCTGGTTTCATCTCCATACGTGTTGCCGAATACATAGCGTCTCTCTGCAAGTAGTAACATGTGTACATACTGATAGACATTAAATGTGTAATGAAGATGTGTAATGGAATTGTGTAATAAAGTAATGAAAGGAAGCTGTGTAAAGAAAGTTTACTGTAAACATTCTAACGTAATTCATGTTTTAGTTTTTTTCCTTGATTAGAATTGAATTTCTTAAGAATAGCCCACTGCCTTTTTCAAATCTCATTGCAAACAGTAACATTTGTATTTGCTAGCTAGTTGAATTCACTTAACGCACTGTTTCCCAAAGTGTTGTATGTGTACCCTCAGGGTTAAGGGAAGTGTTAGAATGGGTATGCTTTGCATCTCATTAACTACGCTGATTCTTTTGAAAACCCATTAAATACATTAAATAAATAAATTTTAAATAAAATTTCAATAAGTGTTCAATCTATTTTTTTTTTATTTATTTTATTACATACTTTTAAAAACTCAAAACTTTGAAATAAATTTGGATGTTACAGTTTTATGTATATTTTCATTCCTATCTCGTAGTCATCACCCCATACATTTATTGTTTTTGGCTAGGAACAACAAAAATATTTTCTTTAACCAACCAATGTGGCCAGTGGGGAATAAAATTTTCGCGAACAGGGGAGATTTAAGTGGTGAGAATAGGGGAGATTTAAGTGGTGAGAACAGGGGAGATTTAAGTGGTGAGAACAGGGGAGATTTAAGTGGTGAGAACAGGGGAGATTTAAGTGGTGAGAACATGGGAGAATTATGTGGTGAGAACAGAGAAGATTTATGTGGTGAGAACAGGGGAAAATTAAGTATTGATACAAATTTTGTGAATGTCTATCGGTGTTTCAATGGTCATGTTGTTTATCCATCACACAGTATACCAAATAACAGATCTATTGGTAATTGTCTTCTTCTATTTTTTTGCATTTTTAAAAATTATTTTTCATGATGAAATCTGAAGCACAAACTCACACAGACGTAGCTACACGTACTATGCAGCTCAGAAACGTGCTTATAGCTACGGAACACATTCCCATTGTTCTACATTCTAATGTGCGATATCTACAGATAACAGAGTACGCCAAGAAGCGCGTGACAAAACTCACGTGGAATATATCCTGTGTACTTAGGTATCATGCCATCTCTGACATAGACACGGGTACTAAAGTCAACACCTGGCCTGGAAGTGGACGTGCTGAAATCAACAGGTTGGCTGGACACAAACACAAGAAAACAACATTTATTGAATTATTTATTGTTTTATCCAGCAGCTAGAAGGACACAATGCAAGGAAACAAAATATCAATTTGAGAAAGTCACTTTGGGATACAACACTGGAGTTTTGGGGAGTTTTTCCATTGATTTGAATCTGAAGATAAAATGTATTTCTAAATATACTGTAGAAGTGACACATACACGTTATTAGAACGGAGACACGTTCTTTATTAATATAAAAAATACCTAAAAAAATAATAAAGCTATTCTAAGGGGAAGAGCTCGACATTTACAACAATCTCTCAATAATGTAGAATTTATTTCCCTTTTTCGACATCAAACAAAGTAATTAATTACCAGTGAATAATTGACTGTTTAATTTTTTAATTGATTCATATTCTGTTAGGTACAATAATAAATTGTGGAAAGTTTCAACCTGATAAGTGAGTGGGTGTGGGAGAAATAACGTGTACAATTATCTAAGGGGACAAAACCCCTTATATCTAGCAGTATCTGTTGATACTAAAGGATTCATTTCCATTGTTGGTATCAAACAAAAATAATTAGCAATACCGGTAATTAGTTGACTAATTTGTTTTTTTATATTCTTTGTTAGTACAATAAATACTTTGGAAAGTTTCAACTTGATCCGAGAAATCGATGTGAGAGAAATAGTGTTCAAAATGTTTACAAGATAGACAGAATGAGTTATTATAAGTTTTGTAGAAAGTTAATAGACCACAATTGTTTTCCATTAGGTTGAGCTTTCAAAGCCAAATTTCGTGTAACACTTTCATTTTCTTTTTATTTGTTTTGAAATCCGCTGAAACCAATTCTTTTAGATTGTGTAAATGATTTACAACTTGAAAATAATATTTTTTTTTAGAATGAATGGAAAAAAAAAACAGATTTGAAAAGCATTTTAACATTATGATAAATGAATCTTTAAGCAAATGTAACCTTATTATCGAGTAGACTGAAATTATTTCTAGTGAGATAGGTCTGGAACCTCTAGAACACATCTGTACCAATATTAGTGTATTTGTGTATTTATAGAGAGAGTCACGAGTACTCACGAGGTAGACAAACGAGGATCACAACGCTACCCACGAGGAAAGTGACACAGATAAATGATGAAAATAATAGCCAATAGTATGCTACAGTTTGTTTGGGATCTACAGACTTGACGAAATGGGCATTGCGTGATGACAAGAATGAACAATGTTTCTTTTAAAAAATCTACTTTTGTCGTGCGTTGCTCATTTTTTTCCAAATGGAAGAAAAACTACACTGGTAACTTTAACACACACAAAATGTAAAAATGAATACTTTCTGACATTCGTGTCATAACTGACCTGTCCAGTGTAATTTGTTTGACAGGGCTGGAAGAGTTGGTTATCTTGTGATGCAGTTGTTCCCTGGTGAAGAGGTCAAGGCCACTATCAGCAGCACGATGATACCGCTGACCCAGCCCCACCTCTGTGGGGTAGACACGGGGCACAAACCCCTGGTATCCAGGTATGGGTGGCTCTCTAAGTGGGCGCTTGTCAGCTAAAAAATAAGGAATATAGTTCATGTTATAACGATATTTTATGTTTTTCTTTCTGACATACAAGAGTGCAGATCTTTCTTTACCAAGTATTCAAGGCCCCACTTGGTAACTAAATTCAAAGCTGAACCAATCCCTAGAACCAGTCTCTTCCGCTGGCTGTGGCAAATTGAACATTGAGATCTATCGGTCAATGCAGTCCTATGAATGTTTAGTCCTATGATTGTTGATTCCTGTGAATGTTTAGTCATATGAATGTCTAGGTCTATGAATGTTTAGTCCTATGAATGTTTAGTCCTTTGAATGTTTAGTCCTATGATTGTTGATTCCTGTGAATGTTTAGTCATATGAATGTCTAGGTCTATGAATGTTTAGTCCTATGAATGTTTAGTCCTATGAATGTTTAGTTCTATGAATGTTTAGTCCTATATATGTTAGTCCTATGTATGTTTAGCCCTACGAATGTTTAGTGCTATGAATGTTTAGTCCTATGAATGTTTAGTCCTAATTGTTAGGTAGAATTGATCGATGCTCATGTAAAACCAGTCTGTAAGATGTAAGAAATGTATCACTTTCAGTGGGATCATGCAGGACCAGATTTGGAGGTCTGGGGGCCCTAAGACAAGGAAGAAGCGGAAGCCCCTTAAACATTTTCCGT